TGCGGGGCCACACGGGCCCCATCAGCTAACGAGGAAAACACAAACACCGGCTCCTCACTCCGGCCCTGGACAGGAATAATGAGGAATAATGAGGAATAATGAGGAATAATGGCTGTGAATGGCAGCCAGAAAATGCATTCAGAAGCACTGGAGTGAAGCCAGCCAAGAAAAGACAATCTGAATAGTAGAGCCCAGTTGGAAGGCCACGGCTAAACTAAAATAAACTTCTCTGAGTGGCTGGTATTGTGTTGAAAAATGGAAGAAATACCAAGTTCATTACCTTTATTTTATGGTTTCATTTTTCTGACCAAGACCGAAGACATAACTTTTCTCTACTTCTACTTCCCAGTTAAACTGAACTCACTGTTTTTTAAAGAAGTATTATATAGTCATTTAAGAAAGAACAAAACGATTTCAGAAGCTACCCAAAAATCTCCCGTTGTCCTAGTTGTAGTTCTTATGTTCCCCTTTTGTTTCCTGCAGCCTAATCTTTTATTTTCATCTTGGAGGTGGAGATTTTTCCTGGTTCTGAGTTACTGTGGGTCATCCCTAATAGCTAAACTACGCTCTTTTCATGCTTTTTTAGGCTTTATTTCTTATATAGTGCGATTCCTCAACATCCAAATCCCCTTTTTTTAACAGGAGAACACATAAAACGATTTATAGACGGATCAGGAACAGATGAGAGTGAGAGGAAGGCTTCTGTAAGTATTACAGGGAACAACCTGTTCAGGTATCTAACCCAGAATGGATTTAATGGATCCTTGTAATTTCACAAATTAATCAAGCAATATGCTCATTTACTATCTATTACTTAGAATGTAATATCTCGGATCACACTTCCTTAGTAATGCTCAGTTGAATTCTACTCTGAATCCTAAAAGCATCTTGTGTCAGGAGGGTTTACAGATGTGTTAAGGGAAAGGAGATGGCCCCTGAACAATAAGCGTCAAGCTAAAGAGAGAGTTTGTGTTCTGCTTGTGCAGAAAGACTCATTCAAGGGTGACAAAGTGTGAAAAGAGATGATGGCGAGTGAGGACAGGGTGAGTTTCTTATTTCCATTTCTCAGTGCAGTTCTCCAGGACTATAAGCAGAACGCATCTCTTTTCATGTCTCATCTACAATATCAATATTTTTTTATAGCTCACTCAAGTTTTTAGTGTCAATTTGTATGTAGCATGTTAGCTAATGATGATATAGTTTTTATAAGAATTTTTTTTTTAAATATTTTTTTAAATAATTCGCCTCAATTCATGACATTTGTTAACAGAACTATATTTCTAATTGGTCATAACAAAAGATAAACTCGATGCAAGCTGTTTTTAACACCAAATGTATTTGATCTTAGCCAGACATTTGTTTATAGAGTGATTCTAAGTGACCTTATCTCATCATGGTCTGGCCAATGTTTGGCCAAAAGCAGAACATTTGTTTAGGATTGAAAATGTGTAAGTATTTTATGCAACTAAAATGTCCTTACAACTACAAAAGTAACTGCAGATGTAGATTTGTCAGCAGTTCATTTCACGAAATAAGAATATTTCCCACTTATTTCTAATAAAGTAAGTTTATGAGTCATTCACTGTTGGAAACACACACAGTCATGGTTTTTCTTCAGTGATTTTCCATTTTTGCTTTTTTCATTCTTCCTGTTGTCCTAAAATAAAACAAATGACTCATCAGTCAAACTGGAGCTTCGCTAACCTGTTTTCACTTAACCAACTTTCTGCTGCCTCAACACAACTCAGACCGTTAACCCACACGTCTAGTCTTTAAGTTCCTTAAAGGGGATTTTGTCAGATGGAAGTCTAGTTATAAAAACTGTTTTTTTATCAGAGAAAGTTGACCAAGGGCAGGTCAAAAGTTTGAAAGATTCAGTTAATCACATCGCAAATGTTCAGAGATTCCTCACTCTGTAAATTCCACAGAAAAGTTCATCAAACCCCTGTTTGCTTGGGTTTGCTGCAAATAGGCTTGAGCTTGTGTGAGCCAATTGTTAGTTTTCAGAGTCTTTAGATATGATTCTTACTTTGAAGAACCTTAACTTTGAGTTACTATGACTTAAATATACTTAGACTATTTAAAAATCCAGTTCTGTTCCCTGTGGTTTGGCTTGTACACTGAGCGGTCCACTTTACAGGCTGTGGACAAATATGGGCAATCGGAAAGCACTTTGTGGGAGCAGTTAGTGTCCCTAAAGGGTGAATCCACTGCCTTTCATTCAAAAAGTTTGCTGCCACTTTTGGTTCTTAGTGAGAGGTCCAGCTCCTTCTCCATAATGCAGATAAACAACATCAGGTCTCAGCTTCTAAAAGCATCCCTCCAAATGCCACGACAATCTCTCTGTAATGAAGGCCGACCTTTGAATGTGGCATGTTTAAGCTTCAGATAATGTTTTCAATTAACTCATTGACTGCCAAACACGTCTATAGATGTCTTTTATGTTTTTCAACGAGAGTGGCTGGGGGACGATCTGCTAAAGCTTGTCCGT